AAAAAAAAAAAAAAGAGTACTTGTTGCCCTTGCAGAGAGGACCCAGGTTTGATTCCCGACACCCCACATGGTGGCTCAAAACCACCTGTAACTCTAATTCCAGGGGAATCCAAAGCATTCTTCTGAGCTTTGTGTGCACCGAGCATACGTGCACTCGAACACACACACATACACACACACACACACACACACACACACACACACATTTAAAAGTACTTTGTTTTTCTCAAGGGTAGATTATTTGCCTAATCTGTGTAGAACATCTTGAGCCCCTGGAGGAATTTTTTTTTTTTTTAATCTCCTGTCCAAATTTTGCTTCTCAGACCACTGCAGGCAAGCTTGGAGCTGCCAAGTACAAATTAACCCTTTGTAAATTATAATCGGAAGGGATTCTCTGAATAAAGACCTTCACCAGCGCAGAATCCACATCCACACGGTCCTCCAACCCTCCATCAGCAGCTGCCAGCCGCTCCTAGAAAGACCAGGAGATTCCCTGGGACGTGTGAACTCGGCTCACAGCACATTTTAACCCTGCGGCTCCCCTCTGACTCCTCTGACCTCTGGTAGGGGTTGGGGGTTGACCACCCCCCTTCCTCTCTCCTGTCATCCCACCCTGTCACCTCCGTTTTCTACAAAACACATGTTTGGAGAGAAACGTTCTTCCTTTGAGGCGTGCTTTCCTTGGCCAGAGCTTGCTCCCGTGTGGGGGACCTTTAGGGAGAGGGGTGCCTCGGGCACCTACAAAAACAGTCCTCCCCGGGTGAGGCACGGAGGAAAACTGTCTAAAGAAGGTGGTGTGCAGCTCTGGGGAGACTGGGCCGCTCATGGTGGGCAGTCCTGGGTCCTGATGCGGGCGGACTGATGAAGGGGAAAGAGATGGAGTTGGGGGAAGGGCAGGAGGAGGGGGAGGGGGCGGCCCCCCGAGCAATTCAATGGCGCTTTGATTTAACAACTCCAAGCTCTTTGAAAACATTTTGCCAGGAAAAGCTTGCCATCAACACGTATAATCTCTTATCAGAGGCCCCTGAAAGCCAGGGCCTCGGGGTTAATTCCCCCATCGCAATGAGTTTGAATCAGCTCTAAACCCGCAGTGACTTGAAAGCGCCCGGGCCTCGGGCCGCACAGAACCCACTGAGATCCGCCGGCCGGGGAGGATTACGGGGCCTGTTCCGCGGCGGGCGAGCCCGCAGGACGGGCAGGCTCAAAAGAAAAAGAATAATTAGGGATAATTGCTTGTGTCCAAACACAAGCATTAAGGCCCCCTGTTCCCCTTTGGGACTTTGTGAAGCCAGAATGAAAGAGACACCCCCTGTTTTGACAGCTGGACCAGAGGCCTGGATCGGTGACCGAGGGAGGAAGCGCTAGTTGGTGGGAACCGCGCCGAGCCGGGCCACGGGTGGGCAGAGGACCCTCCTCCGGGACGGGCGCGGGGACGAGTCCACGCACAGCATCCGCGTGTGCGCTCCGCCCTTCCTGCGACCGCGAACGTGCGGGTGTCGCTGTCGCCCAGGGACTGCGGCCTGGGAAGCCCGCTGCAGCGCGCGGAGGGTGGGGGTCGGGGAACCCCCAGCTAGCCAACTGCACGATCTGGCCAGTGCCCTGTGCATCGCAGCCGATGGTGACGCAGGGACCCCCGGGACTCGAGAAGTTTCCCGGGTCCCGCAGATCAGGCTATGACTCTATTCAAGTTCACACGCCCAGCAGCATGGAGTCTCCACCAACACCCACACACGGGAATATCCGATCCCACCTCGCTCGGCGTGGGGCGGCCGGCGCCGCATTTGCAGACACCCGAGGCACAGGGTGGTCCCGGCCACATCTGGATGCGTTCTTAACGCTGAGGCAGGCGTAGGAGGCTTCTGTTCGTGGCTCGGAAGCGGCGGGAGCATTAAACACAGATAGGGAACAGAGTTAGCGTTCATCCACTACGTGGGGACTCCCCAACACCGCCCGCAGGGTGCTGGGGCCTGGGATCAGGCTTTCTTGAGAGGGCACTGCACAGCCAAGGCCAGGGGGAGCCAGCCTCTGAGTACCCAGCAGTCTTGCAGCCTGGCTAGTTTGCCTTTCCTGGTTCAGAATGTTCTAGTGCCGGAGGTCAAGACAGGGCCCGAGAGGTCCTCAAAGGAGGACCAAGGGTGGGGCGCAAAGAGGCTCGCGCCGGAGGGATGCAGAAGGAACCCGAAGGAACAGTGGTGTGCAAAGACCACCCTGAGCACCTGGACCACCCAGGCCGCAGCCTGGACCTGAAAAGGCTCAAGGCCAGCGTGGCACACAGGTCCGAAGATCTGGAACGGGGAGCGGACCTTCCGGAAGGCCGTTTTGGGGGCAGTGGCCAGGAGACTCATTGTCGGGGTCCACAGCCACACCACCCCTAAGAAGTGTCCAGTTTTCCCTTCCAAATACCGATCAATCAATCTAGTGAGGCTGGAGGATGAATAGGAAAGCGGCTCCGCGGACGCGCGGCCATGAGTGATTAATTACAAGAAAACCACATCCGAAAAGGAAAAAAAAAAAAAAAAGTTTTCTGAAAAGAGCTGAGTCCGAGAAGGGCTGCGCTCCCTGCCGCTGCAGCTGTGGCCCAGAGAGACCAGCCAGCTGACGCCGGGCCCACTCCACTCAGGACTCACTGGCCTGCAGAGGGGACGTGGCTTTCTGGCTTGCAATACACTCAAGGTTTCCAATTTTTTTCAGTAAGGCCTGGGACTGGGCAGAGAGGTGACTGTGGTGATCCCTGAGCCTGCCACTGGCTACCTCCGAATACCAGATTCGCATATACTGTGCTTCTGTCACCCACCATAGGGGCAGCATTGGGGGTCAGCACAACGCAGCCAAGGTTCGACTCTGCACGGAGCAAAGGCAGCTTGCATTCCCCCCAGATGAGACCCCATGGTCAAGACAAAGATGAGATCCAGGCAAATGCCTTCTTGTCTTACTTTGGTTTTTTCTTTAGTCCCACCCACGTGGTTTAAGGGGGAAAAACCCAATGAAGGCAACGTGGTCACCAAAAATAGAAAGAAAATCGTATTTTCTGAATATCTCTTTTCATGGTCCTAATTGCCCGCATTTATTTAAATACACAGCCTGTTGGAAATTAAAATACAGTCTAAAGTGTATAGATGTAGATGGGTTTTTAAGTTTTCTCCTTTTTTGCTTTGGTCCTACTTTTTAAATTGTAGGTTCCTGGTTCCTTTAGACTAGTTGGGAAGACCTGAGAGAAGAAAAGGCCTGTTTCTAAATGAGAAAACATGTATCGTGTCTACTGCATAAGGGGGGGGGTTGTCGCCTCCACCCAGGGAGAATAAAATTCAGGAAATTATAAATTGCTTATTTTCAAAGTCGTGAGCCGTTTCCTTGGAGAGAAATGGGTGGCACTAACTGAAGCCGCTCCCAGGGACACGCTTCTCGGGTTAGCTCATGTTTAGAGACAATCAATGCTCTATTTATTTGTTCTGGGAGGCAGGGGTAGGCAGAAGAATATTCTGATGACAGCCAGAGAGACCTTCTCCCTCTCTTCTCCCGACTCCACCCCCTCCCCTTCCCCAGCTGCTTTAATCAGGCTGCCCTAAAGAGAGGGCTTTGGTTTGGGGTTTGTTTTGTTTCTGAGATTTAATACTACATATATTTCATCACGCCACACTGGCTTCAGCAACTCTTAAAAGCCATGGAATTTAACATTCAATTTCAGAGTGGTGGCCAGCTGATGAAAATGTTATATTCATTTCCAGAACTTTGGCTAAGAGTTGGAATTATGTATTATGCCACGGTGATGGTGGGGGGGGAGGGAAAGAGAGGGAGAGGGGGGGCACATTAACAGTGAGAATGTCCATAGAATCTATATCAAATCAGAATTATAACATTCTTTGCTTAAACTGCTGTGTGGTCCAGTTCCCGAGAGCCCATCCCAACAGGGAGGTGTGAAAATGATGTAAGATGTCTGAATCCATGCCCTCTCAAAAACCGAGCTTGGTGTGCCAGGGTTATTCCATAGATACGCCTTTAGGCCGCACCCCAAACAGACCCATAACCAAGGAATTCTGGGTAGGAGAGCTGTTTCCAGGATAGATCTTAGAATGTGTCAGAGGAGGTGGGTGCCTTCTAAATGCAGTCATTCCAAAACTGCAATCATTCCAAAATTGCTCGGGTTATGGTCAGTGAGGGATGGCAAAGTTAAGCTTCGTG